CCGCTGGAGGGCCAGTAACTCCGAGTCAGACCGAGCACTGATGAGAGCCTTTATCAGGACCTATCTTGTGGCAATACGGGCGGTGAAATCTGTGCATTTTGCCGCTCTTATTGCATCTGCTGAATCGCGCCCAGCCGCCTTGTTTAGAATAGCCCGCTCCCTCTTGAAAGGGAGGGATGCGGACGACCCTTTACAAGGTAGGGCTGAGGAATTTGTTCAGTTTTTAACGGATAAAGTCGCTCGGATTCAGACAGAGCTGGACTCCAATTGCACGGTACCAGCTGAGGTACTGGGGGAAGGTCTTGAGTGAATTTTATGGAACCAGTTTCAACTTGTCGCTCCTAGGAAGTGGACGAGGCCATGGGAGCGGTGAGTGCCTCCACCTGTATATTGGACCCGTGCCCCTCCTGGCTGGTCTCGACTAGCAGGGAGGTGACACGTGGCTGGATCCAGACGATAGTTAACACCTCTCTCTGGGAGGGATCCCTCCACTATAACATAATACAAAAATTATGCGCCTTTATATATTTATGCATCTAATATACTTTTCACTGATTTTTAAGTATCACTTTAGTTTTGTAATGTATTTTGTGTTTTATTCCCTTTTTTCTTTTTTGTTAGTATTTTAAAAGCAATCAAATGTATTTTTAAAAAACAATGTTGCATTAATTTGTTTGTGGTGAGAGAAACATTTTGGATATCAGATTGATTTAACATATTATTTTTTTATGCTAGGGGCCAAAAAAAGAAAGAAAGAAAGAACAACAGTTGTATTAGGTAACTGTATTTATTCCTGATTTACGTAAGAATATAGAAACCACAGGTGAAATGTACATCAAAATAATATTTGTCTACAACGGCATGTTTTTACTGCAGGCAACAAAACCCCTAGGTTAGCAAGTGCTAAAATAACGAAAGTATTCTCTTGGTTGAAATCAGAAGGTGAGAAGCAGAATTCAAAAGTTTTATGAAGTCTTACTATGATAGTCTTCAATTATAGACAGAACTAGCTACCACAATTTCATGGTATGCACATTTCTGCTACAACAAACTGGCATATAGAGTACTTTTTTTCTGGAAACATTTAAACAAAACCATCCTGCAGTTAATGGACAAGCGAGCTATGAAAGTTTTGGAAATATTAAATTGTAAAGCAAAAGTGTAGCAGTTTAAGCGTTCAGTGTTAATTTAATATTAACTCACCTGATTGTTAAGTGATTTGTTTTCAATTGGTGTCCAAGAACTGAACCGTGTATGCAGGATTTCCATTATTTGATGTGGACTCTGTCTGTCACTTATAGGGTGTCCTAAGCTTTTCAAATGTCAGCACGAGGTGTATATATTGTATGAACTATAATTATTCAGGTAATAGTCACTTTCATCTGCTGTTAATTCTGTTGTACACATCAATTAGATTCCTATTAGTGGCTAGAAATGGAATAATGGTGTAACTTTCATGCTCAAGAATAAATACTGAGTTCTAAATTCAACTAAAATCTATATCCTAATCACAAAACCTCTAAAAACAAGCTGAACATTTGGAGTGTGTCTTTAGTTTCTTCAAATTATTCTGGATCCCGTGTCAATTTTTTGAAATATATATCCTATTGTAAAACAAGAAACATAGGATTTCATATTTATGCTATTAATGTTATGTATTATTAATAGTGGTGGAAACAAAATATGGTGTTTGATTAAAATAGGGCAATACTGTAAAATAGAGGCATTTTATTGTAATTGGCAGCAGGATAAAAAACCTGGAAATCAGGAATATTAATCCTGCCTTAGATACAATGCCTGTTCTGTGAATCTGAACCAGATTCACCAGAATCTGAGTCACTCTCTCAGCCCTAGGATGAAGGCAATAGTAAACCAGTTACAAACACAGGGACTAGTCCAAGCAGTCTACTAACAGTCAAAACTGACTTAAAACCACACAGAGAGAGAACTATAAAACTTGGATTGATTTTTGTGCAGTCCAGCTTGGTGGCTTTGGGCCATCACACTCTCTAAGCCCAAATCACATCACAGGGTTGTTGTGGGGAAAATAGGAAGGAGAAGGTGCATTGAATATGTTCATTGTCTTGAGTTATTTGTAAAAATAGTAAAGGCTGGATAAAAATAAAATAAATAAATACATATTGGCCTTCTGTAATCTGACATATACGCTGGGCCTACAACACGCATCGTCCCCCTATCAAAAAGGGCATTGTTTGTGCAAGTTCTGGGGGGAGCTATAATGTGCAGAAGGGGTTGAAGTATGAATTCTGAACTGGGAATGCTATCTCATGGGTAATCTCTAGAAGTTAGTAACTTTATCAGAATGAATAAATACTTTTCATATTGTATGATTACCCTTCGCTACATCCTTTGTTTTTTTTCAAATATTACTTGGATATCCATCAATCCATGTTGAGTGAGATATTAACATCAATTAATTTGCATCATGATAATTTGGCCACATGAAAAAACTACGATGGTATTTTAATTTATCCTCAGTATTAGTAACTGGATCAAAAATTGGTACTACCTGATGCTATTGGGTGAGCTCTACATACTATACATCTGAAGAAATCCCTGTTCACCTTTTCTATCTTTACATTTACTTTAGAATTATTAAAGTTCTTTTCTCTGAAGCTATTAACAGTATGAAACATCAGGAAGGGGTCAATGAGCTGAAGAGCTTTCGATCACTTGTTCTAGACTCTGTACATGGACACTTTTTTCATTCTTGCACAAACTCTTTGGAGGAACAATTGTTTAAAACGTGGGGTTAAAATGCAGGAAATATATCAGTGACTACTACCAATATGTGTGTGTGGAAGGGGGGAAATCAAATACAAAGTTATTAGTTTCTTATTAAAACATACACTTTTTCTTTTCAAAAACTCCATTGTGGATTTTGTGATTGGGGGGGTTGTGACACCTCAATATAAGGAAGACAGGATAGAAAGAAAAGGGATTAAAGCTCAATAATATTCACTGGAAAAGCAAAAAGGGGAGATTTTCCTCCTCCTCTAACATTCCAAGTTTCGATCTTGTTTTCACTCTTTCTTTTTGATAGGCTAATTTTGAATGTTTTCATTATAAGGGAAATAATTGCACTCTGAAATGAATTTGAATCCTATTAACCTTATGCTACAAATTAAGCTTTTGTGCATCAGTCTTGGGATTCAGTATTATGACGTGTTTTGTTCTTTTTAGTCTAAGAGAATACCAACTCCGCAGTTTCTGAAACACAGCACACACAATACACACATCCCGACCCCTCAGTATCCTCTGTATCCATTCACACGTTCGAACAAATAAATAATCACAGGTAGATCAACTACTTTACCTTAAGAATTGATGGATCTTTCCCTTCCGAGAAAAGCCAGTACTGTTGGCTGAAGGTCTTCTCCACATCTCCATAGGAACCAATGTACACAATACAACATACCTTGGGCTTTTAGCCAACACTGGCTGACTCAGGACCAGAGGAAAATATTTCTTGTCCAGTTTGAATCTATTTACAAGGGCAAAGTTCCTTGGATTTCTATGGCACTGTAGCACTGTATCTATCAACCTGTATGACAGTATTTCTTCTGATGGGGCTTTGATTAAAAAAGAGAGAACGAGAGAGATAAAGATCTTCCTAGAAAGGGAAGCTGAATTTAAAAAAACCCAAATTTTCATACATTGTTGCTGCACAGATCCAGCCTGCAGCCTTGAGTTTGACATCCCTATACTATTTTTCCTTGCTAAAAAAAAAAAAACCCAAGAAAACACCTGCAAATTCCTTCTACTTTTTCCCTTTTAAACAATATCAGCTTGAATTTAAAAAGCCCCTTGCATTAGTGGAAACCTGATAAGTGGAAATAAGACCTCTCCAAATCAGCTGTGAACATGAGTTCTTGTAGTTTGTAGTAATAGAACCTGCAGGACACAGGCAACAAAAGCAATGCTTGCAGAAAAAGGCTGTTCTCATAGCGAGTTTAGTATTCTCTGTAACTTCTAAGCAAGTCTACTCCAACTTTTCTTTAATTTCCTGCCCAGTTACACCTCCTTCCCAGAGGTGGTATTCAATAGTTCTGACAGGTTCTGGAGAACCAGTAGCGGAATTTTTGAGAGTGGGGAGGGAATGGGGATTTTGCGGTATTCCTTTCCCTGTCACGCCCAAAGCCATGCCCACAGAACCGGCAGTAAAAAAAAAATGAATCCCACCACAGCTCCTTACCCACATCTTATTTCAGTTTTGTGGCCAGCTTCTCCTACTCTTCCCCAGTGAATCTACTCTTTTTCTTGTTCCATTTCCACCATTCTTTTGGGTCACCTATGCTAAGAAGAGAAGAGGGGATGTATGCTTAAAGTGGGGAAGCTGTGTTCTGTCCAGGATGTTTGGTTTGTATGTGTGTATGAACTATCAACTCTACTTAGCAGTTAAGATCATTTAAATATATGGCATATAACACAAATGCAATCCTATCTATCTCTTCCCAAAAAATTTCCTGATTTTTAGGATTAATTAGGGAGAAAGCAATCTTGAGAGTCACTTTGACTACTTCAGTTAGACTAAGGATCAAGGTATTCTTTTGCTTACCTGGACATCAGCTTCTTCTATTAGTTGACCACATCATGCGTTAAGATGCAGCACATTTGTCATTAAGCCACCATAACATGAAGAGGTTCCACATCCCCAGTGGCAATTTCCATGAGTATCAAGTATTCAAATAGTAATCCACATCAAATAGCAATAAAAGTAGGGATTCGATTTTCCAGAAAGCAGAAGCAACTTACCACTGAATAACACCTCTGAAACAATTAAAACCTGTCAATATCTATCATAGTGAGAATTACTGTGGTCCCCACTTATATGGAAGGGATCAGATGAGTAAAGCTCAGCAGAGAAAGGGTATTATTACTGTGAGAATCAAGCTATGATGCTAATCAGCCATCAATATGATTTCCATATGAAACCACTCACTTTCACACAATAAGTGTCTGGCATGTTTTTTATTTCCTCTTCACCAATCAGCTGAAAATAATAAGACCATGCACATATAGGCGGCTAATTACCTGAAAGCAACTAACACACACATACATACACACGCACGCAACAGAGATGATTATGGAATCCTTGCTGCTCTCTGAGCTTGGTTGTCTGCTTGCAGACAAATGTCTGAGACTGTTTTCTCACTCACGGTTATTAAATGGGTGAGATCAATGTACACCTGAAAATGACCGTTGTCTTACCTGAACGGTCCTTCTATGGGTGCTGCGAAGGGAATCCAATCATGGGTTAACTAAGCCCTCTAGCCTTGAGACTGAGTATGTAAATTTCTAAGCCACGCCTCCTCTGGCTGGACTTCCTTCCTCTATTCAGTCTCGCACGAAGTCCGCCGAAGAGCAAATATGTCAATGTCAATCAGGCCGCCGGCAATTCCGGCACCAAGCGGACAAGTCCAGTCATTTAGTCATTTTTTAGTCATTTTATTGACATTTATAGGCCGCCCTTTTCCCTAAGGGGACTCAGGGCGGCTTACNCTTAAACACAACCACAATCACTCCATGCACACTTATAAACGTATGACAAGTTTTTCTTTTCCTTTTCCTAATTAGTTGCATAGGGATTATTCTTTATACTATTGATGTTGTTTATATTTTTTTGTCATGGATTGCACCAGTGAGGCTAAAACCAATTTCGTTGTATACATGATGTACAATGACAACAAAGGCTGTACTATGCTTTGCTTTGCACCATAATGCTTTCTCCTCTTTTAGTTAATTGAAATAACTAACTGCATTCAGATGAAGCCCCCCAAAAAAAGAAAAAGGATCCGCAGGCACATCAGTGCTGATAGATATCACATTGCCTATCCCTAGATTAAGCTGGTTAAGACAGTGCTGTGATACATATTTTATAGCAAGCACTTAATTATGCCAATCTTGCTGATGGATATATGTGACTAAAGGAAATAAGGGCTGCATTTATGCCTTTGGTTATTGCATAGGATGGCTTTCAGTGTATAATCACCAGTTCCATAGAAGGTCTTAAGATGGTATATTTGAATGCATTAGCCTGCATTCAACATCCTGGCATGCTATTGACAGCATGGAATTAGCTCTGTGACTAAAAAAAAGAACTGTAAGGCTTCTTACATTTTTATGTTGATGATTTTGGGTGTGACTTCTTAATATACCAATGTTCTGACTCAATCACTAGTTTTGTAACTTTGTGGTTATTGTTAATGGTGATCATGATCACAGAGGGACTTGTTGAGACATATATTCTATTAGCCACCCTGAGAATAATATTGAAAGTTAGAGAGATTTATTCATCTCAACTGAGCCACTGTTTAAAAACTAAATAAACTATTTTAGGGGAAGGGGAAGGTAAAAAAAAAATGGATACATATAGAAATAATAAGGTATTGAAAAATTGCTGAAGAAATAGTGTTGCTGCAATTTTCATGCAAGGTTTAGGGACTCTTGTCCCGAGCCTTGGACAGGTTTACTTATTTACACAGAAATAACTCAGATTTAACTTTCCTGAATCCAGCTTCTTTCTTTTGTGGTTGCTGTCATACAATGTGACGATGGTCACCTACTCAGATGCATCTGTTGTTGTACTATGTTATGCTGTGTGAGGTGCCTAATGCATTTCTCTGATCAGTCCCGAGGCAATTATGCCAGTAGGAGATGAAATAAAATGAACAGAAGTGGGTATCAGTGTGTGGGTAGAGAAATCTTACCTGGCTTTTGAAAAAGGTTTCTTTTTCAGCATTTGGGTGCTGCAACGCTATTTCTCAAAATATCAGCAGCTGAGAAAAGAGGATGTCATTGCCTTCATATCAGTCCTAACACAAGATGTTTTGATGGTAGGAGCAGAGCACAAAAATAGTCCCTCTACCCATTCATGGACTCTCTATGTGAAATGAAAACCACAGTTGATATAATATTTCACCCACTCTCTGGTCTTTTGCCTGATATGACTTCCTATATCATGTTGCTATGAAGTACATCTGGGTCTGCATAGCTTTGGAAACATCTTGTGGAGCAGGGGTGTCAAGCTTGTGATGACATGTTGTCATCCTGTGGCGTATTGCTACTTTCCCACCCCCCTTTGCTAAACTGGGGGTGGACGTGGTCAGAGTGTGTATGTGTGTGTGTGTGTGTGTATGCATGTATGTATATGTGTGTGTGTATGTGTGTGTGTGTGTGTGTATGTGTATATATGTGTGTGTGTG